TCAGAATGTCTTGAAACTCTTGTTCTCACTCTAAGCTCTTGGATGGCCAATAGCACGTAAACATGAACGTTGACTTTAAAAAATTCTTATTTCAAAAACGCCCCATAAGAGTCGAAGAATAGGACTATCTTTGTTCCCAGCATTAAGTCAGCACTTCACACCCCCAGCTCATGCAGGCGTATCGTCCGCAAAGGCAGCCGTATTGAAGCACTTATCCACCTTACTCCAATTAATAACTTGGCGGGATCTAAACAACAGGCAAAAGCGTAGCTCATCTCGAATCACTAAACCTCGAATGTCATATTAAGGATGGTTTGATTAAAGCATTACTAAACGAATCGGAAAGCTAAAAACTCACCAAGGCTTCAATGTCCAAATCCAACTGAATGTCTAGATCGGTATTGTAGGATCCCTTGGCGTCATCCTCAAAACCGTGGCCACAGTATCTATCATTCTCCTGACCTCCCCTCTGTTCATTTTCTCCTTTCTCCTCTTTCCAAATCTCCTCCGCCGATGAGGCCATTCGAATCTGACTGAGACGGACGCTAAGTGGCCCTAGCTGGTGCACCGATGTGAGGGAGCACATCACTACTTGGACCGCGTTTAGTGTCACTGCATCGAAGGTCTCACGAGCAGCGATATAGTGGATACAGGAGCGAAGCCACACCCGAGAGCGTTCTAGGCTAAGGAGACCGTGGAGCAGAAGTGGAGAAAGTTGAGGAGAGGACTTTGAACCGGATAGCAAAAGGCTTTTGCTACCAGCCTACGAAATAAAATTGGAAAGTTTGAAAACATGAGAGCACTCAACTCAAGATATACTTTATGCAAGAAAGTATTGCTCTCACATCAATAATCGAGTATCCCAGAAAGCAAAACTTATTTATGCGAGGATGTATATTAGCAAAGAGGAAGAAACAGCCTGTCCACCTAGGTCGTGTTCTTTATATTTGAATGCTAACACGTTCTCGAATGCCAATCATCTTTTCTGGAAAGAATAAACTACAGGATTGCAATTGAACCAGTGATGGCAACATTTAGTTTTTCCTCCAAAACAATGCTTGCTTAAAAAGCAGTCAATAAATTTGCTTGGCAGGCATAATACCGCCCACCGACAAATACTACTGAATGAGGTCGGGACGAGTTGAAAAGCGTTGCAGATTATGGGGATAAAGGCAAATGGTTACAAAAAAAATATATGAAAAAATGGCATGGGAGATGAGTTCAGGTGTGCAAAAAACAGGAAATGGTAGCTAGCAAACTAGAAGAGGTTGATGCCAGCAAAAGGCTAG